CAGTTTAACCTTAGGCTATTTTTCCAAAAGTCTGTTGGTCTTCGCAGAGTCCACTTTGAACCAGAATATGCAAACATCCCCAGGAGACAGTATAGCTCTGAAAGTGTTACAACCAGACAGATTTGCCTTAATCATCCAGTTTATGCTTCCTGGAAGAGCTGTGGAAACCCTCCCTCAATTCAATTCATAAACCAGTCATACAATTAATACTATATGGTCTCCCAAAGATATTGAAGGAAATTGACCGGTCTGTTACAGAGCATTTTCTGATTTTGAAAGTTAGCAGGATACCCATGAAAACTGAAGTCCTCTTTATCCACTAAACAGATATACTATTGACAGTGGCAGCATAAGCATTCCTTTAGGGGCTTAAGGGACCATCGTCTAAAGATAGCAATTTGACACAATAAATACAAGCATTATTTAAAAATTAATACAAAAACATACACACGAAGATTTAGTCACTGCCTCTAAACAGCTTACAATCAACCTAAGAAAATATGCAAAAAGTGAGTAACAAATTACAGGTGAAGAAGGAGAGGGGAAAAAAAGCAAGTGATAAAAATCTGTTTAGATATAGATTAGTTGTATTCTAATGTAATTTCTTGAATTGCGAATGAAGGTCTATTTCTGTGCTCATTGAGAATTGTTTCTTGACTCAACCTGTAAACAAACATGACTACTGTGAAGCTGCATGTGATATGGATTCCTGCCCAATAAAAATGATACTGAAATCAAGGATTCACTTTATATTAAATAGCAGTCAGCTAGTCAAGAACTGCACTGTAACTTGTTTATGCTTCTACATGTAGTTTATGGTAGTTTGGGATGAAACTAACACTATGAAAAAATATCAGAATATTTGCTGTTGGCAAGATCAACTGTTTAGTAATTTACGTCTATGTTATGTGAATTCATGTGAAAATTTCTAAAATTTGTGACTAATTTCTGCTCTTAGTGAATGCACTAAGTTCTTACTAAAGAGGATAGGAACTATAAGCATATATAAGGGCAAAATTTGTCCTTTACACAATACACAATTAGCTACTTTATAAATGCTATCACTGAAATAGCATAAAGTGGCAGAGGGAGTTATGGCTCCCAAAATGAAAATGAATTCCATTTTCATGGAAACAGTTGGACTGAAGATAAAGGACTGAGAGACATATTAGCAACCTGCCTCAAATGACATAGGAAAAAAAAGGAAATTTTTAAAGAGTAATGAGCAAAGATGACAGATTAGGTACATTATAAACATAAAAAACATTATAAAACAGTGCAAGTAGTATTAATGAATTGAATAACAATACATCCATACCTTAAGTACTCCATGCAGTATTGGTCTCAAAAAGATACATTAGAAAAGGAAAAAGCACAGAAAAAGGCAACAAAAATGATTAAGTATATACATCAGCTTCTATATAAGGAAAGATTAAAAAAAGTTGAAAAGTCCAACTAAGGAGAAATATGTTAGAGGTTTTAAAAAAAAAAAAAAAAAAGCCACCATGAATGCCGTGCAGAAAATGAATAAGGAAGTGTTAAATATGCCCTCACATGAAGCAGAGGTCACCCAATGAAAACAACAAGTAGCAGGTTTAAATAAAAAAGCACATCTTCACAGAGCACACAATCAACCTGCAGAACTCATTTTCAGGGGATGTTGTGAAGACCAAAAGTATAACTAGATTCAAACAGAATTAGGTAAGTTCATAGAGGATAAGTCCATCAATGGCTGTTATGGTGGCATATCGGGCCATCTTGATTATACTATGGGTGTCCCTAAACTCTGACAGAAACTGGGACTGGACAACAGGGAACGGATCACTTAATGATTGCCTGTTCTGTTCATTCCTTCTGAAGCACCCGACTGTGACCACTGTTCAAAGACAGGACGTTAGGCTAGAACAGGGCTACTCAACACGCGGCCTACAGCCCATATTCAGGCCACTTGTTTGCAGCCCGCGATGCGGTTTGAGTTTACGCATGTGGGTCAACGCATGGTGGGATCCTTTGAACATGGCCTCCACTGAGAACACACTCCACAATGTCTCACAGGCAGGATGAGCATTGAAAGACGCAAGCGGATGGGCTGACTGGCTGGAACAGACGGGTATAGGGTGTTGGCATTTCTAGCCCCCAGGGAGGTATACCAGGAGCGCCGGGGCATTGTGGGAAGTGCTTTGTATTCTTGCCTGTCAGTGTGAAAGAAGCTATTTGCATATATTTTCATGTATATGCAACCACACTTAAATTGCAGCCCTCAGCATGTGCTGTGAGTATCATTATAGCCCCTGGAGCTTCCGAAGTTGAGTAGCTCTGGGCTAGAAAGACCACTGCGTCTGACCCAATATGGCTATTCTTACGTTAGTCCAGTTTCTCAAATATTATGTTTGACACAATTAAATTGATTTTATGATCTATGAATAGATGATATTTACAGAAATGTTTCCTCATGTTAAATATATGCATTATTCCATAAATCAGTAGTTCTCAAACTACAGTACATGGGTCACTGAGTGCTTGATGGAGATCTGCATCAGCAGATCAGATACTAGCTTGTCAGATGGTATTGGTTCTCCTTGTTTTCATCTGCTATATCTCATTAAAATAAAAACTTCAGAGGGGTAGCCTAATTAGTCTGTAACTTGAAAAACAACAAATAGTCTAGCAGCACCTTATAGAGGAACAAAACATGTAGACGGTATCATGCGTTTTCGTGGGTACAACCTACTTCTTCAGATGAATGGAGTATTAAAAGTCCAGATCCAAAAATAAGTTACTTTTATTTGGCCATGGCACAGAATTATGCAATTTATATGAATCCTCAGAATGATGTGCATCTCATGAAAAAAGTGACTAATAGGGATATGAACATGTACCTGGTTAATCTACAAACCTCACAGTTACATGCAGCCTCTCCCCTCCCCCACTGCCTCCATTTCAGAGGCAGCGGGGAAGTGGGGGGGCAGAGGAGAGGAGGCAGGAGCAATGAACCTAGGGATCTGTCTTTTAAGTTGGCTTACTGTGCGTATCAGCTCCTGCGGAGTCACTTGTCCCCTCCCACCAGTGCTGCTGCCTCAGATACAGTGGCAGTAATGAGAGGGGGACAGGAGGTGGCTTAAAATCTGGTTTCACATGAGCACCAGCTCCAGCCTGGCCCCCGCATGTAAACGTGTAACTTCTGACAATTTCAATGGTTACATTATTTAAAAAAAAAAAAAAAGCAATTTTAACATCTCTAGTGACTGAATGTTAATACTTGTTTTTTTAACTCTTACTTCCAGAGATATGCTAAAGCAAACAGAATTATTACTATAGATCCCAAATAAGTCTGTGTCTGCAAAAAACACAGTCCTGTTCTTCCCTGTTAGAAATATTTGGTTTAATTCCTTATAAGAGCACATGACACTAAAATATTGCTGCATACACTTAAAGATCCTACATTTCATATGCCTCCCTAGATTTGCTGTGGGCTTATGAAAAACATTTTTGTTCTATAATTTATATGAAATGGTAATAAACAGCTTTTGAGATTTAACATTTTATCTTGGGGCATAATCATTTCCCCTTTGCTTAGTAATAATCCCTAGCATTTATTCTTTTCTTGTTCAAAGGTTTTTATAAGCATTACTCAATCATCAATACCATGTGATGTAGTTAAGCATAATATACGGTTTATAGATTGGGAAACTGAAACAGAGATTAAGCAAACTGTAAAAGGGTACAGAAGGACTCATGGCAGTCAGAATTAAAATGCCTTAAAGTTCCTGGTGCCTTGAACTTAGACTAGACTTCCTTTTTAATAAAGGTTCCATTTTCCCATGATTTTATCTGAACACTGAACAAGAAACATTTGTTTCTCTTTTCACACTTTCCTTCACACAGCCGTGATATTTGTGGGGAAAAAAAAAGAATTATTTCACTGATTTCCAATATAAAAATGTTTGATCTCACACTATACCTCACACGATAGCTATATGGAATCAGGGTTTCTAGTCTCCCAAATCTCTATTATTCTTCCTGTGAAAATAACTCCAGTGTTTGCCTTGGCAGGCGCTGCTTATACCATTCCACTAACTTCGGTAGTGACATGGACATGATTCTTCTCAGTTTCACCCCCAGCTCACAGGATTCTGACTTGGAGCAAAGATATCAGACATCCTTGTCAATTTAATTTTGTAACAGCTGGGGAAAAGTTAGGAGAAGCACCGGAGAGAGATGTATGTGCAGATGCACAACCACACCTGCATAAATTCACATTTATATGGTTATCTTGGCATCCAAAAGAACCAAAACATTTAGTTTATCTGAATGTTTAAATTCTGCACAATTGGACAAATTACATCTCCCCATCCTTATCACCTGCTCATATCACAGTTGCAGGTGAATTTCTCAGGTCCACACTATTACAAGTGTAGAGGAATGGTTATTGGTATGGCAGCCACGTTGGGAATGCGCCCATTACAGTAGAATTCGATCGTGCACCCATGACTTCTGGTGTTTCATATTTTTCTCCCCTCTCAATTTTCACTACCTATGTTATGGAATTTTACACATTCTCGTATAAAAGGGCTGCATTGGCAGGGAGCCTTCCCCCGGTGCCATTCTGAGACAGCACTTTCGCTGCATAGTTCCCAGACGCCTCCCAGCTCCGGGGCAACCGGGCAGGAAGCAGCACGGCAGCCTGTTCGCTGCTCCTGTCCCATCAGCTGGCCAGCTTCCTCTCTCCAGAGGGCGACTCGAATACGCCCGGGGAGGTTGGTTGAAGGAAACTTCTGTGGAGGCCCGTGGCACAGACGCCATCGCCCAGGACTCAGGCTCCGGTCCGCAGGGACCGCGCAGTCGCCGTCCCACTGAAGACAAGCCGCGGAGGGCCCAGAGCAGACCCGAGGCAGGGGGAACGCGTCCCGCAGCAGGCCGGGCCGCTCTGGGCGGGGAGCCGCGTCAGCCCGAGTCACCGCAACCCCTCCCCGGCCCCCCGGGGAAGCGCCAGGCCTGACCTGCCCGGGGTTGCTCGGCTCCTGTCAGTGGCAGGCAGCGGCCTCAGCGAAGAGGAAGCAGCTGCTCGGGGCTCCCATCGCCTCCGCCCGGGACCCGGCCTGACGACGCTGCTCCCAGGGCCTCCCGCCCTCTTGAGGAAGTCAACAAACCCCTCACGTGACACTAACGTCGCCCTCCCGCAGGCCACAGGGGCTCTAGAAAGGGGCAGGACTACAACTCCCGTCATGCAGAGCGCGGGGCGGGATGTGGAGTGCGTGTGTGCGTCACAGCATGGCGGGAATTGTCGTCCTGCTCCTTTGAATAGTTGCTGTATTACTGGGTGTCCTCTCCCGTGGCCAACCCCCGTTAAGGGCCCTCCTCGTGCGGGCGCCAGCGCCGCCGCCTGCCCACGAGTTGCAACAGCCGCCCCCTTGCGCAGCACACGTGCCTCTTAGAAAATTACAGTTTTGCTGCTCCCTGGAGCATCTGTGCAGCTTTGCATTCCTGTAAGCTTTGTATGCCATCCAGAGTCCTGCATGTGGCCCCTCCCTGTGGCTTTCCATATGCTCTTTGATATGCTCGCTCTCACACACCAATACACACCTACACAGGACTAGTCTTGCAACACTTTAGAGACTAACAAAACCTGTAGATGGTATCATGAGCTTTAGTGGGCACAGCCCACCTCTTCAGATGAATGGAGTTATTAAAGGTCCAGTTTATATATGTTGTTCCAAGGATTCAGTCCTTTTCGCTGGCATGGGTATCGCTGGAAAAATGCATGCCTTGTTAAGTTTTTCCAGTTACAGACAAACTCGGCTACCCCTCTGAAGTTTTTATACATGTAAGCAGGGTCTGTACCACCGCTTCCAATGCAGCCAGCTGAAAGAGGAGAGGAGTCTTCGGTGTGGTTATGCTCATTCAGTTGTTTAGCCCCACAAACGTACCCCTAGAGTCTATCTTAGAGCAACCCTACTACCTATAAATTCAGAAATACAACAAAATTATTAATTGGCTATCCAAACACAGCCATTTCAAACCTGTATTTGGCAGTGCTGGAATTAATAGGGTAGTAGCATACTCCAGGCTTGAAGTGTTTACAATAGGGATGGGGAACCTAAGGCTCAGAGGGCCACGTGGCTCCCTGCTTGCCTAGCTCTGGCCCCTGTGGCTCAAGGCTTCCCCACAGCATTGGAGAGCCTGTGCTGGTGCTCCAGCCTCCTCACCATCCCCCACAGGGCCAAAGCACACACAATCTACTAGCCTTGGCCTCCCTACGTTCTGGTGTGCAAGGGTTTGTTTGGGGTTTTTCCCTCTTCATTTTTGCGCAGCCCCTGACTGATTTTTCTGAGGGTCAGTAGCCCCTGACCCAAAAAGGATTCCCCAACCCCAGTTTACAGGTTTATTCAATGGCTTTCAGCATCCTCACTCTAAAATATTCTTGAGGGCATTCTGCACCAAAAATTAAAAACTGCACAAAAAACTGGAAATTTTGCACATCATATTTTAAATTTTTGCAAAGTTCTGTAAGTTGTATTTATCAACAAATAAATGCAAGCCACTGGCTGCACAAAGATGTCAGATCACCCTGAAGCCCCCACCTCCCACTTCTGGGACACAATGTCAGTGGTGAGCCTGCACCCAACTTTTACACAGTACAAGGCTTTAGCCTGCCCCAGAAGAATCCTGGGACTGCCTCTCTGTGACAGGCATACCAGGTGTGGGGCAAGCAGGCTTAGTTAGGGAGGATCCAAGTATGGAGGCTCAATGTGTGGGGATCCAGGTGTGCAGTGAGAGGATTCTCTGTGGCTCAGTCAGGAGTCTAGGACTGTGGGGGGATATGGATGCACAGAAGCTTATGGGATGGGGTCCCAAGTGCAATGGGACTTTGCAGTGGCTTCCAGGTGAGGGTAGCTGGGGCTCATTGGAGGGGAGTCTGGGTGTGGGCCTCTCAGTGAGGGGGGGTGGATGCTGGAAGAGTGGGGCTAAGTAGGGTGGGAGTCTGGGTGCAGCTAGTTGGGGCTCTGTATGTGGGAGTTCAAGGTGGTGGAAGGGAGTGGGGCTCATCCACATGATGATTTGAGTGCAGAGAGCTCAGTGGGATGCAGGGCGGTTCCAAATATAGAAGCTGAGGTTCAGTGGAGAGAGGTTTGAGGGGTTTGAATATGGAGGGGTAGGATATGAGGGGTTCTGGATGTACCAGGTGGGTTTTGGAAAGGATATTTAGGAATGGGAGTTGGGTGACTGGGGGAGCAGCTCCCTTACAGGGACCCCTTCACACACAGCTAAGGAGTTGTTGGGCAGGAAGCAGGGGAGAAAGTTGAGCCAACTGCAGCTGTGGAATGGTCTGACACAGCCCCAAGCACTCTTTGCATGGAAAGAGAAAGTCCTGTCTTCTTTTACCTGAAACCCAGCTGGGACTAGCTGCTGATTCCAGCTTTAGAAGTTACTAGCTGAGTAGTCCCTATCCCTCCCCAGTGATTTGTCTCTCTGCTGGGTGCTCTGGGTGCCTACAATGATGTACCTGCACTGCTATGGAATGATACTTGACTGCTCTTGCAGCGTCCCTTTGCTTCCCTGTCAGAAAGTCATTTTCCGGTGGGAAAGCAAAGAAATTGCAGGGACATTAATTTTGCACATGTGCAGTGGCACAAAATTCCTCCAGAAGTATATAAAATGTTTTCCAATTCTGCTGTCTGAATTCAGTTGCTCTCTGAGCAACATCCTTAGGTTTTTTTAAACTGGTACATTTTCACGGTCTTATACAGTTTAAACTTCTGCTCAATGGCCCTGATTCTGTAGACATTTTATGTAAGGGTACGTCTACACTGCCACCCTAGTTCGAACTAGAGTGGCTAATGTAGGCATTCAATGTTGCAAATGAAGCCCGGGATTTAAATATCCCAGGCTTCATTTGCATCTTGCCGGGTGCCACCATTTTTAAATCCCCCTTAGTGCTGACTCCGTGCCCGCGGCTACACGCGGCACGGAGTAGGTAGTTTGAATTAGGCTCTCTAATTCAAACTACCGGTACACCTTGTTCCATGCACATGGAATGAATGGTCAATTAGTTACCAAGATCATATTATCTCATCAAACCATCCCCTTCATAAACCCATCTAGTTTAATCTTGAAGCCAGATAGATCTTTTGCCCCCACTACTTCCCTTGGAAGGCCATTCCAGAACCTCACTCCTCTAATCATTGCTAAGTGTCAGAAAGCCATACTCCCTGTATACAATTAACATTTAATAAACTACTTAGGTTTAATCAACATTAGCCATTTTTTAATTCAGCTACTGAAATTGTGTAGACCAGAGCTTGGTAAAAACAAGAAACTTGTTCTCCACCACTTGTTACCTTTTGTAATAATTTTGATCCTTGCAAGTCGGCATAAAAAGTTGCAAAAAATTATAAGAGCAGCTTTTACACTCACTTTTCATTGACTTTGCTACAATGCAAATGACTACACAAAGAAGAAGAAAAAAAATAATGGAAGTCAGGTTCCATGGATGGATCCATAATAGTAGTTAGGTGCCTAAATCCCAGTTTCAGAGTTTTGTGATCCACAAAGCTCCTGCTAAATGATATAAGCACCTAATTTCACTTGGCACCTAAGTTTTTGCAGTAAAGGGTTGTGTATGCCTACATATCTATCTCTGAGCATGCAGACAGTTGTTTTATTCTATGTATCTGGCACGTAAGCCCAGAGCATTTGACAAACTAGGAGTAGACAGGTGTTTGACCACCTATCTCATGTGTGGGGCCTAATCTGGTGGGTATTGTCAAGATGTCTGGAGTAGAACGTAAGTGTAAATACCAACCTCAAGGCATACAGTTAAGAAATAGGGCCAGTGCTAGGTTCCTCTGGTAATCCCACGGGTTGTGTTGCACAGAGGAGGGAGTATTCAGGAAAGACTACAATGGGGGTAGGAAGAGGCAGAATAGGGCCATGAAGAAGTGGGGTGGGGCCCATGGCAGAGAGAGGATTTTTCCTGGCTCCATACCCTTCTAGGGACACTACTGGAATCTGGAGCTGAGTTAGTTGTAATATGGTTCACCTGTTCTGACTAACTAGGTCAAGCAGAAACATGATTGCTTTTCCTCAGTCCAATGCAAGATGAGGAAGGAATAATTCTCACTTTATCACTGTGGGTGTGTCTAGACTGCAGAGTTTTTTTCAGAAAAACAGCAGTTTTTCAAAAAAAACTTCACTTACATCCACACTGCTATTGCGTTCTTTTGAAAGAAAATCGAAAGAACACAGAGTTTTTTCCGACATTGGTAAACCTCATTCTACGAGAAAGAATGCCTTTTCTGAAAGAGCTCTTTCGGAAAAAGGCGTGTGGAGACGTGGAAGAGGGAGTTTGGGGGTAGGAAGAGGCAGAATAGGGCCATGAAGAAGTGGGGTGGGGCCCATGGCAGAGAGAGGATTTTTCCTGGCTCCATACCCTTCTAGGGACACTACTGGAATCTGGAGCTGAGTTAGTTGTAATATGGTTCACCTGTTCTGACTAACTAGGTCAAGCAGAAACATGATTGCTTTTCCTCAGTCCAATGCAAGATGAGGAAGGAATAATTCTCACTTTATCACTGTGGGTGTGTCTAGACTGCAGAGTTTTTTTCAGAAAAACAGCAGTTTTTCAAAAAAAACTTCACTTACATCCACACTGCTATTGCGTTCTTTTGAAAGAAAATCGAAAGAACACAGAGTTTTTTCCGACATTGGTAAACCTCATTCTACGAGAAAGAATGCCTTTTCTGAAAGAGCTCTTTCGGAAAAAGGCGTGTGGAGACGTGGAAGAGGGAGTTTTTTCGAAGGAAGAGGCCTCCAGGAAAAAGGACAGGTGCCCTGGTGGGCACTCCATCCATAGTAATCACAGCTTAAATGCGAGATAGCGTCCATTCATTGTGGACCCTTTCTTTCGAAAAAGCAGGTTGCTTTCTCAATGTGCTTTGGCAGTGTGGACGCTCTCTTCTGAAAAACCTTCTTACAAAAGAAGCCTGCAGTCTAGACATACCCTATATAGGAGTTTCCTTCCAGAAAGCCCTCATTCAACAAATCCAATCCACATAGATTCCCTGGGGAGGGCAGCTAGATCACACTGCTGTCCTCTGCTATTTAAAAGAATGTTAGGAATTTAATTCTGTGTCATAATCAAGGCAGAATGCTTTTGTACATTTAGAGTTCTCCAATCGAGGCCCA